CTCTGTGAGTTCAAGGCCAGCCTGGTCTACATAGTGAGTTCCAGGACAGCTGGGGCTACAGGGAGACCCTGTCTCAAAAAGACCAAAAAAAAGGTAGATACAGTCTGCATTGATAACAAACTCAGACCTAGCTTCAGGGAGGGAGGTTGGGAGTCAGGCCACTGGCTGGTTTAAGAGGGAAGCTGTAGAGGGGACATGACCAGAACTGGTAATGGACAGGGCAGGTCCAGCGGGTGAGCAGGGAGATGAGCATATAGTTGAGTGGGTGGTATCAACAGCACAGACCAAGTGGAGCTAAAGCCTCTGGGACAGCCGGGAGTTCTGTGCATGTTGGTCTGTGACTCAGGAACCCAGTGTCAGATGACAGCCCAGTTAACCCATCTCCGTCAGTGAGGGACTTGTACCCTTTCCTTGGCTTGGTGTGTCTGATAAGTTCTTGGACCTGATTTCCCTGATACGATTTTAATCCATCCAGTGCCCCTCAATCAATTCACCTCAATAAATTTCTACTCCCAAGAATAAGTCATTTATCAGTCTGTGCTGCTAATGGTGCTATTCACATGTCCACCCAGACACACGATCATCCTCCATCTTCAAGATGGAGTCAAATGCTGTTTGTGAAATAGAATCTCCCAGGGAAAGGCACAGCCTGAAAGCCCCATTTCACCCAATATAGAGTAACTCCCAGCAGGCCACAGTCAGACCTCAACATGTAGCACAGCCTCTAACAGGTAAAAGCAGACGCTTCTTTCTGATGCCACTGGTCCGGATGTAAACAAGAGCCCCACCCACCACATGCCTGTGACCTCAGGCAGCTGACCTCTAAGGTCAGACAGCTCTTGAGCTGTGACAGGTGTTAGATTTATGAGAACAGAAAAAGGAAAGAGTTTAAAGTTTAGAACTAAGAACCAGAGCCAGACCTGCAACAGGCAAGGGATGTGTTCCCTGGATTGATTGAGGAAACTCAGCAAAGGGCTGACAGCGCTTTTCCTTGAGGAATGATTATCTGTACTCTGGAAGGGAGCAGTCTGATCTTACATAGAACTCTGCTGCACAGCTGTAAGAGTTAATGCCATGCCAGGGTCTGGTGTTCTTGAGAGGGTCTTAGGCCGGTGAGTTATCCGTAGCACTGAAGGAGACAGGTGGGCTCCACAGTCTCTCTCTCAGTCCAGGGAATGACCAGTTGATGCTTGGGCAACACCAGGCTCTTCTGCAACTCACATATTCTATCAACAGGGAACCTCATTAAAAAAAGGTTGGCTGGGGTACATTTGCAGCTGCCTTTCCCAGGAAGTGGAGCTGGAGCTCCCAGAGTCTTAGAATGTCAGTTTCCTGATGCTCAGGGCTGTGATCCTGCTCTGGGTCAGCCTGCCTGTCTGCGTCCACTTCCTACGGGGAGGGGTGTAGATTTGGGAAGGGTAGGGGTGAGGCCAAACTTAGCATGAAGCTTTGGCCTTTGAAACCCAAGCAGGGCCTCCAGCTTCCTGTCAGGAGAGTCAGAGCCTGTCAAGGGATGGTGGAGCAGTGCCCAAGGCTCAAGCAGCTTGTGGGCGGAGCCTCTGGGGGATGCCCAGGCCCTTTTTGGTCCTGACCACTCCTGTCTCATTTGGTCAGTACCCTTGCTCCGCCCATGTCCTTCCAGCCCTACCCCTGAACCTGTTTTTCAGAACCCGGAGGACAGCCTCCCTCCAATATGCTATGAGGAGGAGGGCCTAGAGTGACAGCACAGAGTTCCCGAGTGGCACTCTGTTACCACTGGATTTTGCAAGGAAATAAGTGTCAGGACTGGCTGGCTGTGCCGGGCAGGTGTGGGTCACTAGGGGTTACACTTCTGAGAGTCTTAACTGCCCCTTACAAACTGGAGTCCGAGCTCAACAGATGGCTCAGTGGTTAAGAGCACTCACTGCTCTTGCAGAGGGCCTGGGTTTGATTCCCAGCACCTACATGGCAGCTAGTAACCATCTGAAACTCTAGTTCCAGGGATCTAATGCCCTCTTCTGACCTCTTCGGACATTACACAACAGGGTATACATGCAGGCAATACACTCATATGCATAAAATAAAAACAATCAATAAAATATATTTTTTATAAAACTGGAAGTCCTTACAGCAGTGTCACGATGCCCAGAGACAGACCACAGCAGGGCTTGCTAAGGTTAACTCTGCCTGGTGCTGCTTGGAGGTGCAGAGGCCTTACTCTGAGCCCAGCCTACCCTGAGGCAAAAGCAGCCTTATTCTGAAGCTAGACCAGCTCAGCAGAGCCACCCAGGCCAGAACTGTGCACACAGTTACCTGCATTTATCAGGCACTTGGAAACTGCTTTTGCTAAACCACACTGACTCACTTTGAGCCACTAGGTAACAAAAAGCAGGAGAAAAGCCAAACAGCGACCTTTGCTTTGTCCTGAGGCAGCGTGAGGCTGTGCTCGGCAGGTCGGGTGTCACTGATCCCCACAGCCTGTGCTGTGACCAGATAACAAACACTAAAAATGTCTCAAGTATCAGGCTGGAGATGACTCAGCAGTTAAGAGCACTGGCTGGTCTTGCAGAGGACCCGGGTTTGATTCCCAGCACCCACATGGCAGCTCACAACCATCTGTAACTCCAGTTCCCGGGGAATCTGATGCCTTCTTCGGATCTCCACAGGCATTGCACAACACGGGTGCACTTACACACATGCAGACATAACAAACACAGAAAAAAAGAAAAAGTCTCAAGTGTTAAGACCTGAAACAAACTACCTTTCAACCTCCTTCCCCAGGTCCTCAGTAAGAAATGGATTTGAGATGGGCATGGTGACACACGTCTTTAATCCCAGAGGCAGAGACAGGGAGATGGTGAGATTGAGGCCAGCCTAGTCTATATAGTAGCTCCAGGTCAGCTGGGGATACTGGGAGACCTGTCAAAAGAAATGGAGGGAGGGGGAGAGAGAGAGAGGAGAGAGAGAGGTTTGAAGGGGAACCAAAACGCACAGCAGAGAGGTGTGAGTTCTGTGTGTGTATCTGTGCCCACTGCAAGCAGAGTTTCACAAAAACATTAGCAGCGCTACTTCCTGTGAGGGGCTCTGACACTGTTCCCTGTTTTGATTGCCAGTGTTTCCGACATGCTCCACTCAATCATGTCACAGCTCTCTCATGCATAGGCTTCAGTTGTTAAAAACACAGAAGCAAGTGCAAGATTGTGGTGCAGGCATGCAGTCACAGCACTGGGAGGCAGAGGCCAGAGATTGCGATAGAAGGGAGATCTCGTGGGAAAGTTCCACAACCTCCACTTGTGTCTCAAGTTGTATGCCCCAGTTGGCACGTTGGCTACATCCTGGGGTCTGTGCGTGTCCCAGGGGAGGAGGTTGCTCCTCTGATTGGACAATGACTGTCCCTTAAGGGGAGCCACACCTTGGGCAAAATCTCAGCTCTTTGGGACCCCTAAGAGTCAGGAGAGATCTTATTGTCAGGAATACACAGGATGCAGGACAAGTCATAGTACCTCAAGTTTCCAGAGTGCTGCCTATATCCCATAGGGTCCAGGGCCCCATAGGTCATGGATGTCTATGGGGCAGTGAGTCCTCAGTGTTATAGTCTGATAAGTGCCGAGAATTCAGCCACGAGGTAGGAAGGGTTTTATTAACGGCCGGACTGTCCCTGCACTCCGGGATTGAATACAGAGAGCAGCCCCAAAGGGAGTCTGCAAGGACTTTTTATATATACTCAGATATTTCTCAAAAGTGGGAACACAAGGGGACTAATCATCTTGGTTCAAACTCAAGCACATATTTTCATAAGTCAGTAAAAGTTTAAAATTATTATCGACCCCCCAGAACAAGCAACCAAGCGTGGACAAAAGCGATAAGGCGCTAGGCAGCAGCTTATTTCATCTTGGCCAGACGTGGCAGCTTCTAAGAATTCCTGGTCCCTATAGGGTGTAGGCAATTTCGGGGAAAATAACTAGGCCAGGTCACATAGGATGGTAAGGTGGATGTCTTTTAGTCAGGGGCCTGCTATACTCAAGGCCAGAAGAACAGAGCAATAGTGGATCCCTGGTTGTCCCACCCTGTCAAATCAGAGGGACACAGGCCTCCCTAATGGTGGAATCCAGTACAGGCTGCACAGCACAAAATCTAGCAGAGGCAGGGTAAGGCTTGGTTGCTCTGAGCCAGGTCATCAGCCCCTGCAGCACAATGGTTCCCACCTCCGGACTTCAAGAGACTGGCCAGGCAGCACCCTCTCACCGCTGGGATAACCTCCTCCTGGGCACAGACAGGTGCTCCTGGGAAATGGAGGAACCCACTGTCTTTCCCCCAGTATCAGCCCTGAGTGTTAGAGGCTGGCGCCTTGCTGACCTCATTTGACTTCAGTAATTTCCCTGTTTTTTTCCTTTAATGGTTTTGATACAAGTTGAATCATTAGTCTAACTTTTTCAGCTAAGGGAAAAGGGCTGTTTTGGGGGGGTTTAATGTTTAATTCTTTTGAAGTAAGATTCATGTTCCTATTCTGTCACAAAGAGTATTTTTAAAAATCAGCAAACCTTGACTTGTAAAATGGGTTTCTTGAAACTAGCTGACCATAGCGTCATGAGATTTTATCCATAAGATTTTTCTCAAGATTTCCTGTTACGCTGTAAAGTTTGTGTAAGCCTTGCTAAATTGCTAACCGCATATTTCTGCTTTTCTTCTGAGCTTGCTTGCTTGCCAATGGTCATAGAAGACCTATAACAGGACTCCGCTGTTTTAACTCGGGGCCACTTAGCTCCCATTCCCATGGAGAGTAAGTCTGGCCGACTGTAATCGTAATAAATTTTTACCTTGCTACACCTCCGTCTCTGAGACTGACTGGGTCCCGTCTCCGAGACCACAACACTGAGGGAAGCCTGCTCACAACCAGGGGACACCCCACTCCAAGCTGAGCCACATGGAGATAGCCATGGGGCTGGCTGACTGGACAGACAGAGCCATGGGTCATGGGCAGGTGGTCCTCAGAGTAGCAAAAGAAAGGTGCAGACTCGGGCTGGGAGAACAAAACATTTATTGGACTCAGTTGTGGGATTGAACAGCTTCTGTGGAAGGCCTGCGGGGCCCCAGTCACTGGAGGACATGCATTCTTGGACAGTGGTGGCAGGGAACTCCTATCCCTTCTGGGTGTGGTTCTCATGCCTCCCAGGGTGCAGAACAGCTAACCACAGGAAAATGGCCTCCTAGGAGGTGCCAAGCTGAAAGCCCTGGTGACAGGTTAAGGGCACCTGTTCAACAGGAACTGTGAGGCCAATGTAGGCCAGGTCCACATCACAATTCTTGTAACATAATTCATCACTTAAGGGGTGCCGGAGAGGAGTGGTTATACCCTGGGGTATAAGAACTGGAGAGAGGGGAGGTGGCAGGAAGGACTATCACAGCAGGGTCTGCAGGAGAATTCCCCCTAGGCTGAACAGGAGTGCCCCTACCAGGGCCCAGCTGCTGCCCCCAACCAGGACTGCTGAATTGCAGAGGTCCCCCTTGCAACAAGAAATCTTGGAGTTGATGATGGTGCCGATGAATTGGACATTTTCGAGGTCGCTGGTGTCCTTGGGACAGTCAGGAAGGCAGAATTTGTTCTTCCCTTTCACTTTCTGAGAGTCTGCAAGAGAGTAGGGAGTGACCTCACAGCCTGTGCAAACTCAACACTCCAAGGTCTGGGGTACACGGCACACAGACCTGGATGGCCTGGCCTGGCCTGGCCTGACTACTAAGGCACATTAAAGCCAAGAATGGTGACTCACCCTTGTGATTCTAACACTTGAGAGGCTGAGGCAGGAGGATTGTTCTGAGTTCAAGTTCAGCCTGGGTGACATAATGAGTTCCAGCCCAGCCTGGGCTAGAATAAGACCCTATCTCAAAAAAACAAAACATGGGTTGGGGAGATGGTTCAGTGGATAAAGTGCTTGCCGTACATTCGTGAGGACTGGAGTTCGGATCCCCAGAACCCACATAAAAGCTGTGTGGTGGGCCACCTATAATGTCAGTGCTTAGGACACAGAGACAGGGGAACCCCTGGGAAGGCTTTCTACCAAGACCAGCTGAATCAGGGAATTCCAGGCTCAGCAAGAGACCCTGCTTCTGCAAATAAAACAGTGATCGATACAGGAGTATCCACCTCTGGTCTCCTCACACACATGCGCACATGTGTACCCATGGTCTCACACACACGGTACCATGCAAGAACATCTGTTAAGCCAGTGACACAGCACAAAGGTCAGTCAGTCTCTTGGGCTCTGGCTGTTTCCCAGGCGGCCCCTACCCAGGAGATGGGCAGGCTGTAGATGGGAGCGGGGAGCGACAGGCCTGGAAACTGACACTTTGGGGGAAACTGGTGTGTTCCCAGGTCTCCTCTCCATCTTTTCCATGGTCTGGCTGGCACTCCGCCACTCCTAAATCGTTCCTTCAGCTTAAAGCCCCAGTCGCCAGGTTCACTAATCTCACTAAATGCTCCCAGCCCACCCAGTCCTTCAGTGATCGGGGGAGACGCTAGGCGTAAAATGAGAACAAAGGAACACAAGATGGCTGCACTCGGGCAGGGTGCTGGATGACAGCCCTGCAGGCCACAGGGGCAGCCCTGCTCTGGAGCCCATCTGCCCCGCGTGTACCCCAGGGCATAGCCACCACCTGCTCCTCCCTCAGGAGCCCCACGCCAACCCCAAGAGGCCCCCACTTGCGGGGAGGAGAACTTTGGTCCACAAAGTAGTGCCTCCACTAACAAATGTCCCCTCCCTGAGAACTTTCTGCCCTTGGTGCCCCCTCCACACACCCTCAAACCTGCCACATGACACTCACCCCCCATAACTTCCACTTCCTGAGAGACGCAGACTCCATCAGGGTGAGGGCAGGTAGCCGGCTGGCAGGAAGCCTGTGATGTGACCCCCAGGCACTGGTAGCAGCGGAGACCCTGAGCTGGGAGGGAGACCAAGGTTGTTGAGGACCAGCGCATGCCGTTCCCAGTCCGGAACTCTTCCTTACACCTGACCTCACTACCACACAGCTAACTGAGCTACAGGACAAAGCAGAGACAATCCTGTCCAGTCACTTTCACTGTGATCTGAGCAGAGGCCACACGGTCCCTATGTGCTGGGCACTCCTGTCTCAGTCATCCAGCCAGCCCCAGAGGAGAGACCTGGACCTCAAGAGGTACGAGTGACCATGGTGGGGGAGGCATGGATCCCTGGTGTCTGCTGAATGAGAGGGTGCTGGGGCAGTATGAGGGGCACTGACCTGACCTGCCCCATACCTGCAGAGCTGGTCCTGGGCTTTGGAGCAGGGTAGGGCCCTGTAAAGTGGAGGCTCACCATGGGACGACCCAGATTAGAGATGGAACTGGAAGTGTGGGGGTGTCCCCAAGTACAGTGAGGGCTCAGGAGTAGGGCACGTGACTGCGGGTACGACAAGGTCAAACGTGGTGTGCCAAGGGTTGGGGGCACCAAGCTCTGGGACTGAGCAACTGGGGCAGGAAAGGAAGCCTCCATTAGCCTCGTACAGACAGGGCACAGGCCTGGCCGGGAGGCTGGGGCAGCAGGGGGGGACCTGAGGACAGGGGTGCCTGGTGGTCAGGCTCTATGGGCCCCAAGAAAGAAGTGAGAGAGGGGCTGGAGAATACAGTTCTTCTTATGAGACTGAGGGTCCTGTGGAGTATGGGGGTGCTTCCCTCTATGGAAGTAATAAAGTACATGGTGATGCCTGTCTGGTGAGCAGGCCTGACCAGTGCCGCCCAGGCCATCCAAAGGCATACCTGTGCCATCTACAGCTTAGCAAACCCACCCCATCCCAGGTAGCCACGAGCCCAGTCCTGTGCCACAGCCTCGTTCCTTGTCTACAAGGCTCCATGAAAGCACGGTGATCCACAGAGCGCGGGTAGACAGGATGGTAAAAGCAGTAAGGCAGGAGGTCAGCTCACCCTCCCCAAGCCAGCCCCCACGGCACACCCCAGAACACACAAGTGTACCCAAATCTCCGAGGCCCTTTCCCATCTCACCTCGTTCTGCACACAATAGGGCCACAAGAAGGATGAGCGCGCAGGTCTTCATGGCGTAGGAGCTGTTCATTCTAGGATGAGGGGTGTAAAAACAAAACCCCGAGTGGGAGCTGGAGAATGCTGATCCCCCCAACCCCCCGTGTACCCCCGGGACTCAAACATGCCCCGAGCATGACAAGGATGCTGGGCGTCCAGTCTTCCCCACCCCGACCCTCCACACAGCTTCCCGAGGAATAGCTGTCTGCTGGCTTCCTCCACCCACCACCTATCCAGCCCTCCCTTCCCGATCTCCACCTCCCACCCACAGCCCTACGCCTGCAGCCCTTCCCTGAGCTTGCCACCGAGCAGCCACCATCCTGACACCTCTCCTCACCTCTCTCTGGTTAGGCTGCCAGCACAAAGGAGCTCTAGAGTGAGGTGTGAGCCGAGAAAGAACAGGCAGCTTACCCTAAGCTCCGCCCAGCCGGTGCCCTAGGAAGACTCACACTTTCTCCAGGCCAGACCTTTTGCCTAAGACTTTGCAAGATATCTCTGGCCTCTTGCTCCAGGCTAAGCCAAATGTGCTGCTGAGGAGGGGCCACTGAGGTGCTAGAGAGCTGGGAGGGAAGAGGTCAGAAAACAGGGGAAGCACACAGCTTGCCAAGCCTCTTCCTGCTTCTAGATGGAAGACAGGGCTTGCAGTGACTCAGAGCCTACCCTCCTCCTCAGGACAGGCAGCAGAGCCACTGAGAAGAGCCCCGGAGCCTGGCCCTGGTAAGCTTGCCCTTACCAGGAAGGTCTTGTGCCCACATAAGGGAGAGTCCTGAGCCAAGAGCCAACTGAGCCCTAGGGGATGGAGCTAGAAATGCTGTTCCACACCCTGCATGGCACCAGACAGTCTCATGGCAGAGGACTGTACAGATCCAAATCTACTTCTAGGTGGAGACATGTCCTTGTCTCCTCCCTTAAGAGTTCATCCTAGGGCTAGGGGACCATCGTAGGAAGGTGGGTTCACTTTAAGGTAATGTGCTTTTCCTTCCCAGAATTCCCACCCCTTTGTGGAATCCCTACAAGTCACTGTGAGGTTCGGCTGGGTCCTCCCCGTTTCTCAGAAAGGAGTAACTAATTCTTCTTCCTTCTCTTCTGTCTTTTTCTTTCTGATGCTGGTCAGAGCCTAGGTATGCTTTTAAACTCCTTAATTAACACTTGGCTTTGTTACTCTTTTCTAAAGCCCCATTGCTGTGTGGCCACCCTTATCTCAAGCAGCTTGGCTTTTGTTCTCTGTTCCCCGTTCTCTTCTCTTCCACACAAGAGAAGGGCTTGCTTGCCCTGGAGTTTTCCTTTTAAACTCTAATAAACTGTCTCTGAGCTTCCATGTGTGTCCGTTCTTAAATTCTTTTATTAGTGAGACTAAGAACCCCAAGAGGGGAGCCCAATTTACCAGGTCTCATATGATGGCTCTCCTGGGACTCCCCCAAGATTTCCAGTAGCATTTCTTTCCTGCTTTTTAATTCTTTAATTGGCAGAGAAAACAAACAAGTTCCTGAACCCCGAGATGCCATCACAGCGTGGCACGCTGCTAAGTAGAATCAAGGTTTCAGAAATAGTGTCCAGGAGTTTCCCAGCCTTTACCTCACCACCATGTATCATAGTATTTAAATCAAAATCATAATACAATTAGTCAAGTATTAATAGCATTCTTGGCCAAGCCCTCAGAGGAGCAGCAGAGCTCTGCAGCAAGCCAAATGAGCAAGTTCTCTGACCACTTGGCTCTTAGAGCCCACCAAGCAGCCCCCACTTAAGCATCTGCAAATGATACTATGGAACAGAGGCGGGGCACAGAAGAGGGCCTGAGCTGGAAGATCCCTGAAAGAGCACATGCTCTCAGAGGACCACTGACCATAACAAGGAACCCAGAAGCACTCAGCTCTTCCTTCTGGAAGCCACAGGGGAGAAATAAGATCCCCCTTCTTCCTAGAGAGTAACCCCATTGTTTCTAGTGGTTTCCAGGGCTCGAGTTGTCTAGTCAGCATCAAGCCCTCCCTCCTAGACCCACAACAGCCCCTCCTTGTTACACAACCTGCACTCTGTGAGCCAAATCCAGCACCTTTATCACCAACACTGTACACCCCAGAGCCGTGGTGGGAGGAGGGAGACGGTAAGGAAAACAAAGTTCCTCTGTGGCCCCTGCAGATGCTGCCCTGGGCATCAGCTTACATGTAAAGGTGGGTGATACACACACGTGGAACAGCCAGTCAGCACTGGTTGCTTTAACTTTTCCTGGGGAACATGAAGGGATTTCTTTTTACCCCAGATAGGACATCAACAACAGACCAACCAAGTCCCGCCAAGTCCCACCCAAGTCCAACCTGGTGAACCAGTGAGTTTATTAGGCTTAATTACAGAGCATGGGTGAGGTCAGGTAACTTACAGGAGTGTGGGTGACTTCAAAACAGCTGCATCACCACAAAGTCCCACTCCATCATGGAAGGCAACCTCGGGGAAGCTTCAGAGGGAGCCAATTCCTCTTTGAGCTAACCTACTTCCTATACACTCTATTGTCTTCTAAGACCACTTGCAGCTGGGGAGAGCAGGAGGCAGTGGTGGCTGAACGCAAGGTGACGGCCCTGTGACCCTGACCTCCCTCCTTCTGCTGGGGACTGTCAATAGCTCCATCACCATTACCACAGGCCTAGCTATCACTGGTTATAATTATTGCATTGCCATGGTTACTGGACCAAAGTCATCTGTATTCCCAGATGGCTATGGGATGATCATCGCCCTGAAGGAAAAAGTCACACAACTACAGTGCCACACACTGTTTCTCTGTATCAGTCTAGAACCAGGGGTTCTACTGATTCCTCCAGTTTCCACCCTGCACCATTAGATAGACAGCCAGATATTAACAGGCTTGTGTTAGAGAACCCAGATCTGGAGTAGAGACAGCTCCACGCAAGACAAGAGCACAGGCGGCCCTCACCCTGCCTGCCAACCCCACAGCCTGACTATGTGAGCCACACATGAACCCAGGCCACTCCCTCCTCAGAGAATAAATGGCCCCTGCTAAGTAGTCTTAAGTCACACAAGCCTCCTTCCATGTCTTATGACACAGATCCTATACCAAGCCTGCTTTCTCAAAATGCAGAACCCTACCCCTCACCCCCCAAAAAACCTTTAAGAGTAGACACCTTACTCTGTGTGACGGGACTGAAGCCTTTTACTTCAGACCCCATGGTGCTCGGCTCTGCCTGCTGGAATTAATAAATCTCTTACCTGAAGGAAAGTTCTCTTCAGTGCCTGTTACTCCAACCTCCTCTGCTCTCTAAAACCCAACACTGGCCAGATATTAGCAGCTGAGAGGTCCCTGAGGATGCACCCCACCTTCATGATCAGTTTTGAACTCCACCTCCTGTTTCCTTGGAAACACTCCAGTTCTTAAAAAGGAAAACTATAACAATTGCCCCTCCTTAATACTTGAAATACCAAGTGGTGGGAAGAGGTCAGACAGCTGGACTTTGTTGGGTACCATTAAGGAAAATCTATTTTATTTTTTATTTAACTCTTTGGTTCTTTAACTGTCTTTAAACTACTTTGTTACATCATTTTTTGGTCAAAGAAAGATCAGAATTGTACCTCTGACTCTGGGTGGAAACACAACACAGATAAGATTACACAAACATACTATTGCCCGCTCCACTAAGAATTAATCTAAGTGGGCCTGTCAATCACTTGGACAGGAGTCCCACCCCTCAGTAAAACTGAAGACATGCTACAGGATGTGAGGAGTAAGCATCCCTTAGCGAGGTGTGGACTTACACCCCCCAGAAGCCCTGCGCGTGGGGCAATTGCTTTCAGAATCCCATTGCTGAGATGGCTGCTTCCAGTGAGAAAGCTTAGCTTTTTCTTTGCCTCTTTCCAGCTCCCTTCTTCAGAATCCCACTTCAGTACCAAGTCTGCTTACTTTTTTTCCCGTGCAGCTGTTCCAATTGCTGAGCCCGCCTGCTTTCCTGGACCAGACAGACCCTTACCCACCTCCCTACCCCCAGCAGCTGCTGAGATTTACAACTGTCCTGTTGATTTTGTCTCTCGAAGTCTAATAGAATAGCCCTGACTAGTCTGTTTTTAAATTCTTTCATTTAGAAGGCTAAGACCTCACAGAAGGGCCCCGCGTCCCTCTAACCACCGCCGTGTTCACCTACCTGTTGCTTGATTCCTTCCCCACCAGAGGAGTTAACTGTTGTCCACAATGCGGTCACCACTTATTGAACCCCCAGCATAGAGACGCATAACCAAAATAGCGACTCGGTACCACTGCCTTTGGCTCTCCACACTCACATTATGGAAACAATGTCCCCCAAGGAATGGAATTGCCCCAGAGGTCTCGAGCTGGAGAAAGGGAAAGGCTAAAACCCTGATTTCCAAGAAATCAGGGTTCTCCTTTACAGGTTCTTAGGCTTGGAGAGAAAATTATTTTTAAATGGATTCCGAAGGATAATTTAATTGTGGTCTAAGAGAAAAACTACTGAGCAGGAAAGACGTAATTCTTGGCGGCAGCTGCAGGAAGGAGGAACACGGATGTGAGGGACAATCGGATCATCTTAATTCCCAACTTGACACAACGTAGAAGAGGGTCTCGATGAGGGGTTGTCTGCATTGGGTTGGCCTGTGGGCATAGCTGTGGAGTATTGTCTTGATTATATTGACTGATGTAGGAAGACCCAGGCCACTGCAGAAGACACTGGTACCTAGGCAAGGGATCTGGAGCTGTGGAGAAAGGAGCTGAGCCCCAGCTTTCTCTCAACTTTCAGCTGTGACTATATGACTAGCTGTTTAAAGTTCCTGCCTTGACGTCCCTGATGGACTCTAACATGGAATATCAGTTAAAATAAACCCTTTCTCCCCTAAATTGCTTCTTTTTTAAAAAAATTTTATTTCTTTACTTTTACTTTATGTGTATGAGTATTACGCCTGTGTGTATGTAAGTGCACCCGTGTTATACAATGCCCACTTAGATCAAAAGAAAGTGTTGGATCCCCTGGAACTGGAGTTTCAGACAGTTGTTAGCCGCCATGTGGATGCTGGGAATCGAACTCATGTTTTCTGCAAGAGCAGCCAGTGCTCTTAACCGCTGAGCCATCTCTCCAGTTTACCCTAAAATTGCTTTTTGCCAGGTTATTTTATCACAGCAACAAAATGAAACAGTCAATGGATAAGAGGAAGAAAGTCATACTTTGAGTTTGCGTTCAAGAAAGCAGGGAGGCACAAGTGGAGTCTGTACGCAGCGGTACGGCCTGGGGGTCCTCAGAGAAAAGTGAGAATGCCCAGAGAAGTCAGGGCAAGCAGGTTTAGGCTTTGGGCTAGTATCTGAAAAAGAGAAGGTAGGAAGAAACAGAAAAGTTAGACTTTTAGCTACAGCCCAGAAAAGTGAGCTGACTTAGCACGGAGGTTGTGTACACAACTGTCTGAGGGAACATCTTCAGGTGTATATAGGATACATCTCAATGAGGAGATAATTACTTCGCCATCCCTTTAACAGGTCTTTAGGCCGATCAGCTTATCAGCTTTGCTGAGGGGAGATTTCCTGTCCAAGTGATTGACAGGTCCACTTGGATTCACTCTTTAAGGGAAGGAGCAACAGCTTGTCTTTATAATTTCATCATCT